CATGCGCCAAGCTCCCGGAGACCAACGGTGCTCGGCGGATCTGCAACGGTGGCCCAGCGATTGATGCCTCATGCTTCTTGAACGGTGCCGGTCCATCAAGCAGGAGCGAGTTGACTATCGAGGTGGGGAGCACGGACCTGATTGCGGCGACCCATACTTGCACTCCGGCGGCGAGGGTCTTGGGACCATTGGCTTGTGTCCCTGGAGCCGTGCCGCACACTCGGGGAGTGGCTAGGTCGGCCTTGATATCGGGGCTGCAGGGACGGGTGCACCTCCATGGGCCTGCACTAAGTCACCAGCGCTCTGCGTGCTGAACCCAGTGAGCGGTGCCCTTAGTCCAGAGACTGGTGAGGGCTCCTTCGGGCTGGCCTCCCTATGTCCAAGGCCTGGCAGCTCAGTGCGGGCGACCGCTGGTGGGACTCCCTGACGAGGAGAGCGGTGCTACACAGATGGGGACTGCTGGAAAGGTCCCATGGCAGGTTTGCCCTTAGAACAGGGCACCACCATGGCCGGCACCAATAACAGTAAGATGTCCTGCTCTGCCTGCTCCACCTGAGCTGGGGCCTGACTCACAGAGGTGAAGAGCCGCCCTTTGCGGGTCCTTGCTCCCCTCTGGCCCTCTCCTTCACTTTACGGGATGTTGGCAATCGTCCCCTCCCAGCCTTTCTTTGCTCCCGGCTGGTGCCGGGGAGAGGGATTGGCTATGGTCCAAAGACGGCACCGGTGGAGCGCTTCGTACCAATGCTGCGGTACTAGGAGCAGAGTCCGACCTGGATGGCTCCAATGCCGGTGCTAGCGACGACTCTGTAAGGAGCACCCGGAGATGTATGTCTCACTCCTTCTTTGTCCAAGGCTTGAACCTCTTGCAGATCTGACACTTGTCACTGATATGGGTCTCGCCCAGGCACCTCAGACAGCTACTATGAGGATCGCTGATGGGCATCAGTTTTTTGCAGCAATCACAGGGTTTGAAGTCTGGGGATTGGGGCATGCCTCATCTCTAGTTTGAGTCCCGTCCAGGACTAACTTTAACTAACTACCTACACTAAGGGAAACTACTAACAAACTTTTAACTATTTACAGAAAAAGGTTCATTTCAACGGATTAAGAACTGTGGGCTTCAGCCAAGGAAAGCTGCTACACACCCAAGTAATCACAAGGACGCTAAAAGCTTTGGTGGCTTGACAAAACTGCCAGTGATGGATATAAACTGAATATACAATCAGTGCACCTTAAACATCTTGCCAGAGATCGACCTGAGTGGCGCTCAATTTGTAAGGAGGTCACGTCCCTTAGTGATCTGTCATGATGATGGTGAGAAATGGTTATCTAAGTAGTCCTGATTGAGCAAGTGAGCTAGAAAATTCTTTGAACCCTTCTAGTCACTAGAAAAGCATCTCCTCTTTCCTCCAGAGTACCATCTTCCAGGTCACCTCTTTAATTACATTAGCTGGATTGCCTCTTTTAAAATGCTTAACTTCAAAAATGATTTGAATGATCATTGCCACTCCTCCATCACGCCATATCCATTGAAGAAAACCTTCTGCTTTAGAGCTGATAATAGTCTTAAGGTCAAAAGGTGAAATAAGCACTACTACAAATCTGAAACCACAAAAGGGAGAGGGGAACTGCCCTTCTTGGCACAGGAAAAACCACTCTTGGGAGGAAGAGTTGGGCACCCAGAGACAAGCAGTCCATTCAAATGTTCAGAATCATCTAGGGATGAAGCCATAATAGTCTCCATGTGATGGACAAAAAGGGATAAATAAACTCTCACATGGGGTTTAGGAACGCTGTTTCATCTCAACATGTATATGAAACTACGGGGAGTGCTAGAGTGAAAATTTGGGCTGCAGCAGAATAAGTATGCTGATGAAACACAGCTCTGTCTCATTTTCATTAAAGTCATATGGCTCAATGTCCTTTTTCCCAGTACCTGGACAAGAATAAAGAGAGGTATGCTGGGTTGGGCGAAAGCCCTGAAGGGCAAGACAAAATTAATGGGAGGATAGGATTCTGTTATTGAGACGATTCACCCCTCTATTATTTAGGAGATTCACCATTTGGGTCTGGATATGTAGCAGCTGTTGGAACTGATGACCAAGAGTACCTTTTTCAAATGGCTGGTTATACCTTTGTGACTACTTCTCACAGATCTGTACTTCAGCGTGGGATTTGTGACTTTTAGATCCTCATTATTTAAAGAAATTTGTATCTATATGGTTCATTCAGAGTAAGAACGAGAAGAGTTTTTTATGTATTTCTTAAACTAGTGCTGGTTTGCAATGTAACACTGCAATGTATATAGCCAAATAGTTAAATCTTAAGTTTAAGATTTTTAATCTTAAAAAATTATATAGCAGCATAAATTTACATGGCAATTTACAAAACAAGGGAGATCAGTCACTTCCCCCGAAGAGCTAAGGTATGTGTTAGTAGTACACATTTTAAAGTCAGAGTAAATAACATCACCTAAGAAGGTTGAAAATCTTTATTTAAAGGGAGTAAGTTTGCCACAATTTTTGGTTGTCCAGATTTTTTTTTTTTTAAGTTCATACATAAATTCATAGTATTTGCACTACTGGACAAATAAGAAACCACTTTTGGACCCATCTTTCCAAGTCCAATGTTGTTTAGCAAATTAATCTAGGTTCCTCTCCAAATGATGGAGAAATCAATTAATCTACACAGAAAAGTTCTTGAGCTATCTAAAATGACTTTTTTGCATAAAGGAAACATACTACAGCTATTTTAAAGCAGATATTCCAAAGCCAAGATCTCTGTATTTTAAAATATCAAAAATGCCTACGGAACTGGAAAGTTCTAATAAGGTAGCTTATGTGGGTACCACATTATTTGTATGCTGTCTAAAAAGTTATTCAAACCTCTTTATATGCTAAGAATAATTTACATTTGAAAAATATGAATGTTGATTTTTCAAATTATCAACATTTTATATAATTTAGATAATAATGTAAGAAAGATAACGTCAGCTCGGTCTTCCAGCAGTTCTTCCAGCAATTAGGACATTTAATCTATGCATTATCTAAACAAATATCTTTACTTTTCACTCTTTACAGTAAGGCAGTTTTATTTTTTGTTTTTTTGCATAATGCAGTGAAGAATTGTTTTGATCATTATCTTCCCAATTACAGAAATATTAACCATAATATATTTCTATAATTAATAAACTTGCAATTGTCTATCCAATCTATTATTAGAGAATTCAAGTTAGTCAAGAACTGAACAGTGATTTTCTTCATTGCGTTTATAGACGACACCTTTATGGCAGTTATAAGACCATCATTTTTTAATTTAAATGTATATAAACAGAGCCTCATAATGAGTGTTAATGGGTTTATAACAAATAGAATTCAATATACATTGTTTTTTGCTTGAGTTTTTGTAATAGAACTTAACAACCTGAGAAAATAATTATAGCTACCTATTCTTAGAATAATAGGTTTGGCAACGTTCAATTAAACAAATAAAAACACCCCTAAATTTGTAAACATCTCACCAGATGCACGTATTGTAAAGTTATTTCTACATTATACACACAACTTTTACTGTACAGCTATCTGATACAGATGGCTCAAGGTATAAATAGTTCAGCAAGAGCTGAATACTAGGAATGGTAAACTTTCAATTCATATTTCTCCTCAGATACAGTTGAGCACATTTTTACATGCATTCAGAAGACAAATTTAGTCAAAATCTCATTACTTATTAGTTCTGGATGCTGTCAAACTAATTCATTAAAATTCTGCTTTTAAAAATACAGGGCACATGCTGTTAAAAGTGAAGGACTTTTAGTCTACAACAGGCTTTTAATTTAGACTTTGTAATATACAAAGCTTTAAATTGGTTCACAAAGCTTCAGACAGAGTTGAAATGATTTTATTTGTAGTTCAGTCTGGGTGATGATTGCAATACTTGAAGCATAACTTCAGAGCCATACTTAGGGCGTGTTCCTGACCAAGCAGATTTCAATGCAATTCATTTTTATTTAGTACAGTGGAGACTAATGCAACACCTCTAGGTTATGTGGTAACCTTTAAATATTTGACAGATAGTTATTGATTATACAGCCATCCTAAAGAACAGACACCAGGTCACAAAGTAATCTGACATCAATAAACCTACAGTAGCTGTATTGAAGAAGTGACAAAAAAATGTTTTGAACCTTGATAACTTTTACCAATACAGAAGTTCAGAATTATACAGTTATTCTTTAACTGGGACTGTGTGTTAAGTTATTTTTAATCTAGAGAAATTAACATTTATTATGAGGAGAAAAATCAATTTAAAATAAATGTGTAGAAACTAACTTGCCAAAAGAATTTTCTTGAATGTTTTTCAGAACAGGTGAAAAAAAAAAAACCCCAACAACTATAATATGGTCCATTGTTCTAATATTTGTTTTAGCAACATGGTCACTTTGGGGGTTTTTTTGTTTTGTTTTTTAACCCATGAGAATATTTTATGATTAGTAGAAAATCTTTAACAGACACAAAAGATGGAAGATGAAATTGCAGCAAGACAGCATGGCAAACCTGAGAGATCTATTAGTGCATAAATCTACTTAAAACAGAAAAGAGAGAGAAAAAGAGCACTAACAAACCACAACAAAAGTTGTCCTTAAAGTAGTAGGTTATAACAGGGTGGGAAATGTGTAATATATATGTACTCCTCCAAAGCAGTTACTGTCTTTCTAAATATAAGGAGCTGATGTATTTTCACAGCATCAGATTTACTTATGGTATAAAGCCATACAATTGTAAAATTATTACTATGATTATTCTTTTCCCACCCTGGCAGAGAATAAACATGAATTCAGAAGCACAGTGGGAGTGGAAAACAAAGAAGAGAAGAGAGAAAAGGCAGCAGAGAAAGACAGAAAAGGTGAATACAGAGCTACAGAAGTGTTTATTGAGCATGCTACAGAGGTAAGCAGAGTACACACAAAATGAAATTAAACGACTGTCAAACCTCCCAACTTTGTTAGAAAATTAATTTTTAATTGTGCCGCTTTCAAACTATACTGAATTTTACATTTCTAAAGATGTAAAAACTTAACTAATAGAAAATATACATGACCTTTTTCTACATAGATAACAGAATCTATGAATCTTGAAACTAAGTACATCAATTTCAAAAAGCATTGGTCATTTAAACAGAATCAGATTAAACAGTTCAGAATGACAGAAGAACTGTTTTCAAAATAATTTGATCTGTAGATTCTGAGCCATGTTTATAGTAAAGTCAGATCGATTTCTAAATACAAAATATTTTGAAGAGATTTATTAAAACTGAATATTACAATGCAAGGTAAATTAAGACTAAAGGCACATAAACTTTGGTCCCACCTGGTTGTCAGTTTTAAAAAACTGCCACAAAATTAACCTTCCTGCAAGTGTTCACAGTACACTTTCTTCATCTTTGAAAAATACATGCACCAGTTCCTGAACTAGCTAGACCAGTCTGCACATGCTCAGAAATCCACAACCATATTCCAAATCTTAATTACAAACTAAAGATGGCAATATATATTTAAATGCACATAAGTCATGTCAACTTCAAAAACATCTACGAAAAATATTCAACCACAAACAAGACATTACTTAGTGCTGACATTTATATGATACGTCCCACAAGAGTGTGTACAAAAAGGTTAAGATTCCACCCACAATGCTTTCCACATAGGGCTCAAAAACACAGAAATCACTTTTTTCTCCTTCAAGAAATTAATATTCTGTACCTTGTTAATTTTCTCTAATGCCTACATTCATAACTGAATCTAGACCAGAATCATGAAATACAGGCCATTTACAAAAAAAAAGTTAAAGTAGTAGAAATAAAATATACTGTGTTTTAATCTTTCAAAGTAATGTATCTTATCTGATTAAAAAGGAAGGTACGTGACAACCCAATAAGTAATAAAAGAATTCCAAGCAGGAGAAACAAAAACCTTAACCTTTTTAACACACCCCTGCCTAAATATATTTTAATTCTCATGTAACACTGTGCCCCAGCCAACCAAATTCATTTTACTAGCAAATGCAATTCTAGCAACACTAGTTTTCCTTTTTAAGGCACGTATGTCAACTAACTTGAAAAACTGTGGGCTTAACTTGAAACCCTTTTAAACAAAACGATGTTTCTCTAAACAACAGATGAAAAACCAACAGTTAATATCACTGCTTTTATTTTCTTATGAATGTTTTTTTTAAAAACAACCAAGGAATGATAACAGCATGAAAGACAGAAGTCAAACTCTGGTCCCCACTCTCCTGAACAGTCAATAGGTGACGACACTGAACAATGCGATACACCTTCATTTTTTATCTCCCATTTTAAATCGTTGATTTGGAGAAAGAAACTCTCAGATGGTGATTTTCTCCAAGATTGTAATTATGCAGATCAATCAAAGCCTGAATAGCTTCTTCCACTGTTGACATCTGAAGAAGTGCCATCTTGTGATCTCTTCTGAAACAAAACAACAACATTAGGAACTCAATCAATACTAAATAAGGGCCTAAAAACCTTTCTTCCCTCTCCAGAAGAGTATTTTTTCAAGACGTTCTGTTAAAACATATGAAGCCAATCTTTTGTTAAAAACATAAGGATTCAAGGAAAAGTTGCTTACTGAAAAAATTTAAATGCTTTCACAGTGCCTCCAGTGTTAGCAAACAGTGTGCGCAGATCATCTTCTGCTACTGATGGTCTAGAAAAATGGAAAACAAAAAAACGTAAGAATTAATTATTAGTGGATCTAGTATTTTATGGCTTATGTGAATCCCGTTGGCTTATTGTCATACAATACTTACGGAATATTGGACAGATGAAGTGTTGCAGATGGAGGGAATATATTCTGAAAATTTTTTGAGCCAGGTTTCTTGAAGCGATGCAAGGGTGAATTACCAAAATCTTTAGTGAGCCCTTGGTCATCAAGTCCCTCTCGAGGTAGCTGTACTGTCTGATGCTTGGAAAGGGTAACTCGAATAATCTTTCCATACATTTTTTGTCCATTAAGATGACTCATGGCTGAAAAAGACAAGTTTATTAAATTCAGTACTACATTTCAAAACCCTGCAAGGATGGCATATACTTTCTCATTAAATCACGGATTTCAGCCAACATTGCAAGCTAGAAAAATAATTCCATTTCAAAGTTAGTTTGTAAAATTTTCAAAACTGCACTGCTATGTTTAGCCATGTATTCAGTAAAACAAACCTGCAAACACAACCCTATTTTATTCTGTTATTTGAATGGTCCAAATAATTTATTCCAGGTGAAAAAGCCCACCATGACACTAATCAACATATACACCACTACCTAGTATTATGATCAAACTTCTTTTTTCTGATTTAATTGTGGTATTTTTGTGTATGCTATTGTGCTGATATGGCCAGTGTAGTAGCAGACTGATGTCCATGGGGTTAAATTAGAATTTGGAGCTAATGTTTAGTTCAAAAAATAAATTAACACCTCTTTCTCCTCCAACAACACTATTATTCTGTTCACATAAAGCAGCATATACACATACGCTTTTTGTAATACAAAATGAGTTGATGTAATAAGTTTTCATGTCTCATGGACAGTCTGGGATCGGAGAAAAACTAAAATAAGAATAGACTGACAAATATGAACATGTTCATTTGAATTTCCACAACATGATTTCAAATACTTAAATTTACAGATTTAAATGAGGCATAAATGAATCTAATCTTACCCAGCTGTGACTGGTTCCCATCTGCCATCTGTATAAGAGCACTGTCTTTCTTATTGTATAAAATCTTCACACGCTGCACATCCCCATAAACACCTTTTTTGGAGTCAGAGAGGTAATCCAAAAGAAAAATTAATTTTAAGTCTAATCAACTAAACAGCACATCTTGACATATCAATGAAACATTCAGACATCAACAAGATCACCCACTCAATCTCAACATTCACACAAATGAATAAAGAAGATCAAGATTTTGAATAGTGAATTTTGAAAAGAATAAATTTTTGATAAACCCTCAAAAGCTATGTGAATGATATTAAATTAAAGACCATGCAAAATATATTAGCATGCATTAAAAGAAAATCTTGTGTCTATGGAGAGTTTTTAAACAGCAAAAGAAAAATAGCAAAAGATTTACTATTCAACTTTAAGCCAAAAGTGCTAGCTACAAATAAGAATTAAGGTGAAACAAAAATTAAATCAATAATAAAAGTATAGTGCTAACAATAACATACCGAAGAGGGTAAACAGACTTTGGGGCGTAACCATCTTTAGAAGGAGAGAAGAGCAAGCAGCGTAAGACAAGAAGAGAGAAGAGTCGAGGAAGAGCGGAGATGAACAGATCATCCATAACGAAGGGTGGTTCCCGCAGAATGGTGAGGTGGTCATGGATCATGGTTCAAGGCGGTTAATTGGGGCAAGTTGGTCCGAGGAACACATTTTGTTCAAGCACAGAAGCATGAACATAGGGAATGAAGACAGGGAACGTAGACAAGGATAAGGAAAATAAAGGATAAGACGGGGGAGGGCATGGGAATTTGAGGAAAGACAAGGAAAGGGAAGGTGAACACAAAAGGAGAAGGATGAAATGGGGAAGGGAAACAGCAATGCAGAAGAAAAAAAGGAAGTGGGGAACAAAAAAAAAATAAAATATAGGTCAGTACATAGGAAATGCAGGAATTTGGTCAGAAAATGGTTGGTTGGTTTATGTACTGTACAAGAAAAAAACTGAGTAAAATGTAGTCACCCAAGACAAATATGGGTAAAGTACATCCATATCAAAGAATAAATTACAGCATTTCATCTCAACATGAAAAAAAAAAGTATGCAATAGAAATTTTAAACTTTGAACTTTAAGTGCATAAGCATGGCTGGGTATGAAATGCAGGCAAAAATCTTTCAAAATGGCACTCTGATCCAAACATTTTAACATGCAAGACTGTGGATGAGAAAATAGTAACGAATGATAAATAAGCTTAATGAATCATATTAACAGAGGCCAGTTAAAAATGAAACAAGTATTCCAACTAGACAAACTGATACATCAAACTTCCCACATTTCATACCAGCTTTCACAGCAATTAAAAAAAATTGTACAAGACAGTAAAAATGCAAAACTAAATAAAACCCCTTAGATTTTTAGAGTTAGCAAGAAAGATAACAGTATTAAGGTGAAAAATGTTTTTGGAGACAAATGAATAATAACTGCAAAGAAAAAATTACTAAGAGAGACTGGAAGAGTGCCTCGTCAAGATCTTTGGGAGAACCTTCAAAGAAAAACGTGTTAGAGCAGTTCACATAAATTAAGATTTTAAAAATGCAGTGACATGTAAGCATGAAATGAAGCAGCAAATTATTAGAAAAGAAAAACATAATTCTACTTTACATAAAATATAATCTACAAATTAGAATACATTTTGCTGTTTTTGTGAAAATATTTAAATTACAAATTGAAAGCCAAACATGCAGTATTCACCATATTTTTCTTAGGAAAAATAGGTAGCCAAATATCAAAGGATATTTTAAGTTGTTAGCTACCTAGGAAAACAAAAGTATTTAACTAGAATAGAAAAAAATATAAAGTTTATAGTTTCAAAATTAATTTAAACATATAAAAAACAAGAAAAAATACTTTGATCTTAAAGTATGCAAGTGAAAATAGAGGCAAGTACAAAAAAATGAAAACATTTACAAATGAAGTGTGATTAAAAAATAAGGAAAAAAAAAGAGTTTATGGTTTCACTGACCTCTTCATTTAAATTGCTAACCAGGAGGACTGTATTGCCACCAGCTGAGACTCCAGGCATACCCACTCGGCCAGCAGCAGCAGCGGCTGCTGCAGCAGCAGCATTCGGAATAGCCAAAGGACTCAGCGCTCCTGGAACAGCTGCAACAGGAAGCCCTAATTTTAAAATAAAGCATATTTTACGAAATACAAACAAGTCGTTTAAAAATATCTAAATTAGAAGTTCAAATACTGTATTGTTTACACTACAAAAAAATTCATTCCACGATTCGTATTTTCCAATGCTTAGTGAAATGGATCAGTAATAAATATCAGGAGAAAAACCAAGGTTCTCGCTATTTTCTTGCTTCAAAGCACTTTATATGCTACTTCACTTCTCTAAAGACCATTTTGTTTTCAATCAAATGTAGTTCTTGTGAACCACACATATTGCTCTTTTTTCTTAGATTAAAGCAAAAACCTTCCATAATAATATCTATAGGTTTAGAAAAGGTTCAGAAAAGGGTAAAAATGATTAGGGTATGTAATCACTTCCGTATGAGGAGAGATTAATTAGACTGGGACTTCTCAGCTTGGAAAAGAGACAACTAAAGGGAGATATGATTGAGGTCTATAAAATCATGGCAGGTGTGGAGAAAGTAAATAAGGAAGTGTTATTTACTCCTCATAACACAAGAACCAGGGGTCATGAAATGAAATTAATAGGCAACAGGTTTAAAATAAACACAGGAAGTATTTCTTCACACAACGCACAGCCAACCTGCGGAACTCTTTGCCAGAGGATGTTGTGAAGCCAAGACTATAACAGGGTTAAAAAAAAAAACTAGATAAATTCATGGGAGGATAGGTTCATCAATAGTTATTAGCCAGGATGGGCAGGGATGGTGTCCCTAGCCTCTGTTTGCCAGAAGCTGGGAATGAGCGACAGGGAATGGATCACTTGATGATTACCTGTTCTGTTCATTCCCTCTGAGGCACCTGGCATTGGCCACTGTTGGAAGACAGGATACTGGGCTAGATGGACCTTTGGTCTGACCCAGTATGGCCATTTTTTATGTTCTTATCAAAATGACTTGAAAAAAATCTTTTTGATGCTTAATTAATCTTGTTGCTGGAATATACCAGTCAAGTCGGTGAAACTAAATATTAATGCAAGTTATCTTCACCATTATTTTTCCTTTAAATTACCCTTTGGTATTAGTTACTTTCTTCACTTCAACTTGATGCTTTAGGCTAGGTTGCAACCTTGCAGAGTAAGGCAAATCGAGTAGCCTACATATTACCCATAGCGATAGGCTCAGTGGGGGGAAAAAAAAGTTCCAGCCATGAAGACGCAGGAATATTCAGTCCAGAGATATGGCTCCATAGTGGTAATCCTCCCTAGCCTCTCTGAATCCTAACAAAGTTAATTCAGGCAGGGATAGTATTAATTTATGATGGGTTTTCCCAGTGGAATCCCTTGGGTACTTATCCCCCTAGGATACACTCCTTCCCCACCATCCTGTGAAATTGTGCCCCTGTGCTATGCCTGCACTACCTTTTACAGGTAAATTAGACATATTTGTACAAGTACATTTTATTTAGTCTCCAACAAATAAAATGATAAGACTAGCACAAAAATCATAATTGTTCGAATTATTTATTACTTTATTCTATTGCATGCTATTTTCCACTACTGCACTAGGCCTTGCAGATTTCACTATGTGGTCTTCTGATGCCTGGATGATGATGATAAATGAAAATTTAACTCAGGACCAAGTAACCTTGACCAGTTGGGCCCACTAACCCATCTAAATAGAAATCTTTAGTTTGCAGATGAGAATTGAGTTTCCTCCCTTCTTCCCCTCAGGAGCTAATTTTGTTTAAAAATAAAAATAAGGGAAAGGCAGAAGAATTCTCCCGTCTCAGATAGTGAGTAAATACTGAGAAGCTAATTGTGACTGTACTCGTCAATAATAAAATAAAATATTCCCAACACTACTAAAAATAGATATTTGAGCAGAAGAAAAATGGAGAAGTGTAAAATAAGTGTGGTTACAAAGTTTATTTCACACAAAGTAAGTAAAATGTCCAAGCTCCAACTCATTAATCATGTTTCTTTTACGGGGGGGGAATTTATGAGAGAAATAATTAACACATTGAGATTTTACTGTGCTGGACAAAAGGACTAGCTAAGTATATAATATTAATTTATTGTGACTGAGTGGGATAGCCAGTATCTATTATGCAGTAATGGTAAAACAAAACAACGACAAAAACAATGTTAGGGATAGAGATTGATTTATGTAATGCCATAAAAATATTTTCAGAATTAAAGTTATATTCTCCCTTAGAAAACATGTTCAGTTCTGGTCATTCCATGTCAAAAGCAGATACAGAAGTGTTGAAAGAAGGGCAATTAAAATTAATGATGTGAAAGGATTTTCAAAATAGAAGGGTTTTAAAAGATATTAGTCTATAGTGTCATAACACAGGTATACAAAATAATGAATGCTACTGAGAAGGTTAACTAGGCAATCCTATTTAGTCCCTCTTGTAACTCAAAAAAAAGGGGAAGGAGGCATCTAATAAAATTAAAGGGCAACACATTTAAAGACAATAAGAATGCTTTGTTTTTTAGCACAATGCATAGAGTTTAGTGGGATTCAACAAGGGATTAGACATTTTTATGGATAACAAGAACATCCAGTTATATTAGAGAGGCTAAATATGTGTACATGGACAATCAAGCTTCAGGATATAAGCCAATCACTAACTATCTGGGGGTTAGGAAAAAACTTCCCTGCCCCAGACACAATATATGAAGGTTGTCTATAATCTTCCATTGAAATATAGTACTGTTTGCTGTCAGAGAAAGTATACGGGATTAGATAGACCACTGGTAGTTTTGCATGGCAATTCCTATATTCCTCAAAATCCACTTTTCACTTTCTTTTCCACAGTTGACCGCCATGCAAATTTATACTACTATATATACAAATGTATCAATAAATAAGAGAAAAGTAAGTTAGATGTAAAAATGATGTGCCAAAGTTTTCCAAAAGTCATAATTAAAGTTGTGCCCTGAATGTTTCAAATAGTAAAGGGCAGAGAGGCATTCAGCAATTAACTGATTTCCCTTTAACTAGCTATGTTCTGCTGTTGTATCACAGAAGAAATGCACAGATATTAGGCACTGTATTAGAGCAACAGAACCAGCCAATAAAGAGGCTGAGATAAGTGAAAAAATGAAAATATATCCAAAATATTGAACACTATTCAATACCTCCAATTTTTCACACATCCCATGAAAGAAGATAAGATGAACCCCTCATCCCCCAAAGCTACAAACCAGAAAGAACATAACTTTCATAAAAGTTTGTAGAGCAGACCGTTAGAAAAAAAAAACCATATCTTTGCTTGCAATATGAGAAAATGTGTTTGGAAGTTACATTGATGCACACTTGGAATCCCATAATGCTACTTTCTGTCCCCTCAAAAACAGTATCAAAACTGTATTTTAAAGAAAAAAAAAGTACTCACAACCAATTTTTAAATAAATATTATTTCAGAATAATTTTAAAAAGTTTAAATACAATAAAATGTTATTTTTTTTATGTTGAAAAGACTGATTGTTAAGATCAGTTGTTGTATAAATTGGATGAAGTTTCAGGAGAGACCATTTGTTAATCAAAAACTAAGTACGGTAATTCCTCTAGTATAATCTGGGGCCAGTGATAGTTGCATGAGTTAAATTTGTCAAAGCAGCTTTCACCTGTGTTCGTTATTTACATATTTTACAGTGAAGAAATGACTAATTTGGTCTTTTCTGCAAGTTACACACGTTTTTACATTATCCTGGTCTCCTCTGAGACATTCCCTGTCCAATCCCTTACTTCATAATTGGCAAACCACAACAGATGCACATCAATGTTTAGAGAACAAAATACATTTATCCTATTGTGCAATTTAAATGTGCATTCTATTGTACAACTAATTCAAGATCCAAGTAATTTGGTCATAAATTTTGATATTTGTAATGTAGTTCCAAGGGGTGGAGGGGGTGACAGGGAGGAGAACTATGGGCTTCAAACATGTAATTTGTTTCTAAATGTTTTTACCACTCCCTGTATTGTGAGGGCCACAACATTTTTGTGACAGCCATAAAAATGATACATTTACTCTCCTTGCTAGCAGTAGTAGTTGATTTAAGTATACTTTTGAATTATATTAGTATTTCAGATTTTTGTGATGTAAATAAGAGGAAATAGAGCAATGTATAAAACTTGTTCCCTAGGAAAGATATTTTGGAAGACTTTAATTCAGACATAAAAAAAAATGCAGAAATAGATTTTTATATTGTACATACCCATTTTTCATGTCTGTTTTCGGTAAGCTCAAGAAGTATAGTTAAAGAAGGTCACATATGCATACGTTAGCTGCACAGTAAAAATTCAGTAAAGATGCACATGACGGGGCACAATACTATGTGCCCACTGCACAACTTTTTCCATGTGAAGTGGCAGAAGCATAGCACAGTTTAAATGTAGGCCATTTTTATCTATGAAAATGCCATGACACTAAAGAATCACTGCAGGAGCGAGAAACAGTAGCTTTGTCCCATTGGAAAGCAGAGCTTCCCAATGAGACTTAACACTCACTATTTCAGGACCTTTGAGGACTAGAAGTAACATTTTTAAGCATTGAAAAGCTATTTTAAGCCATTTTTAGAGGTTTTTTTAATGGCTCCCTCTGAGCCCTCTACAGCTAGAAGCGTAGTAACTGATATTTTACAGGTAAAGGGATAAAAAATAGTCCCAATAATATTTTTAAAACAGTCCTAAAATATTATTTTTGTATCCCCTGTGCAGACTACACTATGGCTTTCTTCTGGGATGAACTGCATAACTCACCTTATAGTTTTGTCATTTCCACAAGGCAGCCATTCCTAATTTAAGCTGGAAAACCTTTAACACATACCAAATCATATTCCTATACACCCTATATACCCAGGCATGCAATTTATAACATTTATAGTAATATGTAGCTGCATTTATCTTTTCTGGTTTTGTATCTCCTACTGCTGCATATCAATCACTTCATGTCAAAATGCTGTGTTGTGTTATCAATTTGTTGCTGAGATAATAATTAAAATATCAGTACCTTCAATAGAAGAA